GTGGGGAGGGGAGGACGAGGAGGTCTGCGACGGGAACGGGAGGACGTTGGGAGGGGAGGACGAGGAGGTCTGCGACGGGAACGGAGGACTTTGGGAGGGGAGGACGAGGAGGTCTGCGACGGGAACGGGAAGACGTTGGGAGGGGAGGACGAGGGCTGCTCCGTAAAAAGCACACGCCGAACGCTGAACGCAGGATGTCGGGAGCGTCTTCAGGACCGAGCGACTCCAAGCCTATTTTAGAAGCGACCGCCCAGACAAACGCAAACCCGGCGTTTTGAAAACGCCGGACGCAGAGAATAAGCTGCGTCAAACGGTGCCTAAGTCTTTTCTCCGTTACGGATGTGTTTGTGTGATCAGTTTCATCATTTAAGATTATTTAGAAAAATTCATGGAAGATCGAGTCATTTTAAGTCTGATTCGCACACAATTTGGTGAAAGAAATTTGTCGATCTAATTGAAGACGTTTGATAAATAAAGTGTCGGTCGGCCTTCGCCTAAGCAAAAGCCAATGTCTGATAGAACGACCCCGAACGCGTACCACTCCAACATGTACCGGAGAGTCTCAAACGGAAGTCTCGAACTACGGGAAACAACAGATCCGTAAAGCATTGCCCCGATGCGCTCAGGTGGACATTCTACACAATGTGACATCAAACATGATGCTAACACACCGTCTTCAGGATGCGTGGTTGCACCATCTTTGGGGACAGCCCGGTATTCAGGATGATGTGTCGCTTTGTCAATTACTTCATAACTCCATGATGTCAATTGTTTCTTCTCATGATGCTCGCCGCAAGGATTAATTATTATTATTATTATTATTATTATTATTATTATTATTATTATTTCTCTATTATTTTAATTATTGTTAATATTATTTTTATTGTTGTTGTTGTTAATATTTATATTATATCTATTATGATTATTATTGATAATTATTACTTTTATTAATATTATGATTATGATTATGATGATAATAATAATAATAATAAATAATCACTATTATTAGTCTTATTATTATTATTTATAGTATTATTTTTAATATAACTATTATTGTCAGTATTACTATTATTATATCTATTATCATTGATACTACTACTACTAATATTATTATTATTATTATTATTATTATTATTATTATTATTATTATTATTATTATTATTATTATTATCTTGATTTTATTTTTCTCATTTGGATACAAGATTCCTATATTTCCATTTTAGTTTATTGTCCTATTATTTTGCACACAATTTTAGGAATATAGCATTTATTGTCTTTTATCTATGGATCCAGGATTAATATCTACTTTTTGATTTAATTTTTGATTTACTCTTCTTATGTACACTGCTTTAAAAATAGAAAATTTATTTTATTTTCTTTTTCTTTATGGCATCAAAGACTTTCTTTCTCTAATTTCTTTCATCCTGTATGTCTAGCTACAGTATGGCTACAAGAAGACAAACCCTCCTCGTTCGTGATAAGTTCTGATCTTGAAGTGCTCATCCCGTAGCCTAAAGGTGCTATGAACAATACCATCCCTATCACTAGTCACAAATTGAAGGACCATAAATATCTCCATCGGTTTCAATTTATAAAGATGTTCATTTGTAGGACGAGCAAAAATTAAAATATCATCTCATTGAATCTATTACAGCACCAAAGAAAGAAAATATTGAGTAGAAGTTTGAAAATACATAAATAATACCGTCATGTACTAACTTGCTAATTTTATGGCTATTAAGAAAGGAAAACTTCTTGCCAAATAGCACAACTTAAGAAATTTGTCTGGTCGTCGAAGTACATTTTCAAGTTCTGAAAAAATATCAAAACTTTTCTCTTTAGAAAAAGTTCTCATGAACTTTGGAAAAGTGATTTCTTTGTTATTTAGTATGACAATGACAACAACATAACCTGTCTGAAGCTCAAGAACAGAGATGCCCCATTGACGAGGATTTAGAGAAACACGCCACTGAGAAAAGGTGATTAAGTTCCTAACAGTATAGAACAATGATACAGATGAAGTCTGAGCCAAGAAAAAAGTTTTTGGAGAGTTATGATGGAATCATCACATCTGATGGATTTGACTCTGATGGTTTGAGATTCTAGAATTTTGGAAATAATGACTGTATAAAAAAAAGGGAATTGCTTACTGTCATCATTAATGAAAATATGATCATACCAAAGAAAACTGTTAGAAAAAAGAAGAAAAACTAACAAATTGGAAACCCGCGCGTGATTTCAACTCCCAAAGAAGCCAAGAGAAGCTTGTTATTATTATCAATAGTCAGTATAGCCATATAAAACAAAATCTTCTCAGCAATGAACAAATTGAAATTCTTCAAAAAAACTCCAATCAATCAAGGGAAATTTATATACATAGCACACAATTCTTATGTATTTATAAATCTCACCTAAACATTCATATTCAAATACATAGCACTTTTGTGTTTTAAACTTATGCATGAAAAAGTATATTTCACTTTTGAAAAGTGATAACAGAGATATTTTTGATGTGACATTGAAGATCTGAGTGCTATGTGTGTAAATATGAAAGTTTAGGAGTGATGTATGTGAATAAAAAAAATTGTATGTTATTTATGTAAATCCCCATTTAACCAATAGTCATGAAAGTAGGAAAAAAAACAACATTACACCAACCTCTAAAGTGATTGTGGTATGCTAAAAGAACTTGACAATGACCATGGATTGTTGATTTGGGTGCGTAGGATCACATGAAATGTAGCATTACTCTCTTAAAAAAATTTTGGGCTTTGCAAAAAAGAGCTTATGGGACATTTGCTTTAATGTCAAAGATAAGACCACTAGGGGGTTATCTGTTTTACTGAGCAACGTGTTCTTGAAAAATTGAGTAATGATATAATAGACACTGAAGACGGTGAAGGCACAAAGGAGTACTAGTTTCCAGTTGAGGAAAAGATGCACATAGTTTCGATTGAGCCCATGGTAGAGCCTCCAACCGACTTAATGGTGAGTGTGCAGGATAGTCTTGAGTTTGAGGAACTAATATCAAAGGTATGATAACCCATATACGAGAAATTCAAACCATTCAAATTTATAATCATTCTTGAGTTGCCCCTACTGAGGGAGGCCTAGCATGACATAAATAGGGCTCTTTTGTGCCATGTCGAGAAGATTACATAGAGTTATTCAGATGTTAGATTCAACTCAGCATGGTACCTATCATCAGCTGTCCAGTAAGAAGGAAATTCTTTAATAGGATCTCGATCCTATCAATGAAGAAGAGGTTTTTCCTGAGTGTTTGCTAGTGAGAGTGATGTAGTCTGCCACAGATTTCACCACATAGTTGATTTCTCCTCACATATTATTTTATCAGCTACATTTTGCTAGTGCAAGAAGTGAAAAAAGAAGATTTCAGATTTAAGGGCTCAAGGTTATACAGTGGAAACCTAATATGTATATGTAGCACTAGCTCAAGATGTGCAAAGAGATGATGCATATTTATTTTATCAAAACGTGTTGTGGAATCACAACACATACATGATCGAC